CCTCCGAGTGCGGCGGCGGCGGCTGCGGCGGCGAAGGGCGAGGCGGCTGGAGCCCCCGGGGCGGCCAGAGGGGTGATAGAAATATCGGGAGCGTTGTCGTTGACGTCTCGGATTCGCACGATGACCTTGCAGGTGGCTGCCCGGGGCCCTGGGCCTCGGTCTTGAGCCCGCACGTCCAGCTCGTATGTGTCTTGGCGCTCATAGTCCACCTGCCCGGCCAAGGTGAGGCGGCCAGAGCGCGGGTCGAGCCGGAAGAGGTGGCGGGCTTCGGGAGGGGTGCGGGCGCCGAAGGTGAATACTACGTCGCCATTAGGACCCTCGTCGGGGTCCGCAGCGTCCAGGTCCAGCAGCAGCGATCCCACAGGTGCGTCCTCGGCCAATTCTACCTCGGCCACGGCACCCTGCGGGAAGGCGGGGCTGTGATCATTGGCATCTAGCACGCGCACATTGAGTGCTGCTGTGGCGGAACGTGGAGGTCTCCCTCCGTCCTGAGCCACCAGCTCCAGGCTGTAGGAAGCTTGACTCTCGCGGTCCAGCTCCTGGAGCAGCACCAGGTCTGCACACTGGGCACCATCCGCGCGCGTCTGTAGCTCCACGCGGAAGGGGCTGTGAGGCTCGGCCAGACGAACACTCTGCAGCCCGTTGGCACCCACGTCCTCATCTACAGGCACCTCCAGGGGGATGCGCGTGCCTACGGGAGCACTCTCGGAGACCTCCACCGGGATCTGGGCTCGGGGAAACCGGGGCGCATGGTCGTTGACATCTCTCACCTCCACCTCCACGTGCACCAGTCGAAACTGCTCCTGGGAGAAGCTGACCACATCGAAGGCCAGCACACACTGTGGAGCCTGGCCGCACAGACGCTCACGGTCCAGGCCCGTGTCCCCGACGGTCAGTTGCCCGTCGCCCTCACGCACCCGGAGCAGAGAGCTGTTGAATTGCTTCATCAGGCGGAAGCTTGTGTCTCCTGACACTTTCATGTGCAGGTCCTCTGCAAGGGTCCCGATGACCGTGCCAGGGGCATCCTCTTCGAAGGTGCTGTATCGGACTGTCTTGCTCTGGGCCACTGAGAGCACCCAGCAGAGACTAAAGAGCTGCAAGGGAAAAAGGCAAGGGCTGCCCCAGCGCTTCACAGGACTCATGCCGCCAAGCCCCGAGTGCTATTCCGAAAGGTTAAGCTAGAGTCCTCTCCGGTTTGCAGACTGGAGCGTGAGTCTCAGGCTCCCGGGAACACGCTCGTTGCGAGCCCTGTGTGGGTGAAGTCTGCGAGCTGCAGCTCCGGCTCAGGCTGGCTCAGAGGACGCGCGGATCCGCCCTCTCGGCGCCTCCGCCTCCTGTCCCCGGGCTGGAGCTGCGCCGTGGCGCGCCGCCTCCGCCTTTATAGCTGCCGATATGCAAATCACCGGAACCGGGCAGCCAATGGCCGCTTAGCCATAGCGCCGCTCCTCCGCCAACCGCTGACAATCCTTTTAATGTGGAAAGGCTTAGAGGAGAAAACAAGAAAGGAAAATGAGGGAATTTTTCCTTTGTTTTAAAAACTCCTGCTTCCATTTTCTGTTAGCACCTTGCTTGTAGATAAGTTAGCACTGGGCTCTGGAGTAAACGAAGCGGATGGTTTTGGTAACTGGGCGCCCGGCATTCCGACTACTCTGCTAACCGCTTGTACTAAGCGCAAACAAGCCGGGTTTCTCTTCAGAGGCTCCGGATCTCACATCTTACCCCCTCCGCCCTTTTATTTTGCATCTTGAAGGCTTCCACGCTTGCTTTGCGGAGCGAGGCTCTGCTCGCCTTCTCTCCCAGCTTCCCACAGTGCCGGGAATAGCCTGTCAGTGAAGAAGTCTGAAAGATAGAGCAAAATTGATTTTATTCAAATTTGTGTATGCGATTGTACTTTGCTCGTGTGAGCCCTGGTGCCACTTGCCTTTCGGAGCTCTACGATACATGTTAGTATGCATGTCACTGTTCAAATGGCTTTCTTAAGCCCTAGGTGCTAGCAGGCAAGGAAAAAAAGTTCCAAATAGGATTTAGCATAAGCTCGAGGAGATTTGGAAAGGTTTCAAAGATCAGTCTGAATCAAAGGCTTATGAAGCCCTCGTTAGTAGTGGAAATAGAATGGCGTGGCAGGCGATCCCATTGGAGGCCCCAATGTCTGTATTATTTCACTGTGACAAGCTAAGGGAGAGAGAAAGTTGAACGGTTTCCACAGCGGAGTTGGGCTAACTTGAATATAATGAGCAAACGCCACATGTATCCATTATGCGCCTCTATTCATCCTCAATCACTGCCATAACTCTCAGGCTAAACGGTGATGGGCGCTGAATTCCACACAATACCAGGTTCGTATTAAAAGTGCATTTAGAGACCTTTTCCTCCTGATCCCTTGTTCCGCCTATTTAGAGGATTTTCTTTCTATTCTAATAGGGCCTCTCTGGGAGCAACACAGAGGAACAAAATCACAGCATGCTGTTGAAACCTGGCGGGAACCTGGGGGTAACTTAACCATCTGCCTATGAAAGTGTGGAACTTCAGTCGTGCCTCCTCCCCCTGGGTGGGTCCTCGAGCTGCCTTCACAGGTATACCCCCACCCCACTCCCGTAGTGGAAGGGCCGGGAGCTGTGCCAACCTGGAACAAGGCTGTTTCTTATTGATTCTTACTGGAGGGCTCTATTGAGCAGACACTGTAAATACAAAGGCAGGAGGAAGAGTTCCAGGCACAAGCCACACAGTTGAATAAGGAAAGCAGGCGGTCAGCTTGGTAAGCAGGTTGCACCCCTGCGTCTTGGTCCTTCTGTAAGGATCTTTTCAAGTCTCTTCCCTTTAGACTCATTTGGAGTATTTTCACAAGAGGATTAAGGGTTCAACCCAGACTAGGAGAGCAACTGGGAGCTGGTCTGGGTGGGCAGTGGGGTGAACAAGATAGAGGGATGTTTGGAGTTGCTTGGGAGCAGGAAATGCAATCTTAGCCATCAGTAAATAAAAGCCTTTATTTATGAGGTTAAGGTGGATGTTGATGTGCAGTTTGGGGCTTCCTTCATCTCCTCCATCTTCCAGTCCTGGCGCTTGCAGGCAGTGAGGTCTGATGTCGTCTGCAGTCACTTGGGGACGTAAGAAGGGCAAAACTCCTACAGGACCCTAATTTCTAAATTTTTCCTCTACTCCTCAAGCACCATTTTAGTTTCTGGCTCCCACCCTGGTCTTGTTCAAGAACAATGCTCAATCTTCTTTAGAACCCCAGAACACCCTGGTCTGGACCCCTGCTTGACCTTTGGCTTTTCCAGTTCTTCCAGCACGGCCTTGTTCAGGCAAAGCCCGGAATGTGTTCAGAACCCAGATGATGGACAGCAGCCTCTGAGCTCCGCGGCTGGCTGTTGGAATAACCCTGGAACTCGGTGTCTCACGTACAAGTGCTACCCAGTCCAGAACGCCGAGGCCTGGGCATAGGAAGGGGCATGAGGTGGGGCTTCACCACGATTCTGTGATCAGACACTGAGATTCCAGGTTGAATCGCGGGAGCTCTAAGTCTGTACCCTGCCCCGTGCACGTCCTCACTTTTTTTTCCCCCCTCAAAGATTGAAATGAAGTGTTTGGAAAGAACTAAAGGGCAGAGAAAGCAAGCTAAAAGCTCAGCCGCGGCAGGAGCTGTTGGGGTGGTTAGCTCCAGGTTCAAAGGCTATTGTCTGCTGCCTGAACCTCTGCAGCTCAGAAGTGGCTGCTATTGAGGCAGGGGGAAGCCGGGAGTGGATCCTGGGGCTGAGGCAGGACTGAGGGCCTGGCCTGGCTAGAGGTCCAGGTGTGAAGGCACGCGAGCAGGGAGCTCCTGCTGCCTCGCCAAATAATGGAAATACTGCAGACACTGCGACTCCCCGCGGAAGAGAAATGTCCAAGGGGCGAGGGCTGGAGGAAAGTCGGGGAGGGCTGACATCGAAGGGAGGGGGGAACAAGTCCCCAAGACAGATCCACCCACAAAAGCTGCCCAGCTCTCCTGGTTATCATGCCAAGAGGTCTCCAAGGAGCCCCTTTCTTTCGGTTTTAGCAACTTCGCCCGCAACTGTCTGGCAATCCTGAGAACAAACAGTGCCCCACAATGGCTGAGTTTTTTCGGGATGTAAATGTCGCCGGCTCGGCGGAGCAGGGTTTCTGTTACCGCGCCTAATGCCGGCATTGTGAAGCTCGCGTGCAGACCCCGGGATTGACACTGGCGTCACGTGACGGATTAGGGCTCTAGGAAAGTTTCAAAGCGGTGACAATGGGGGGCTCAGACTGATCCGCTATCTCCCACAGTTTAGAGGGAAAGAAAGTCAGGATATATTCTCATATGTAATAGGATTATCTTTTCCATTTCAAGTTCTGTACGGCATGTAATTTATTTTTAATTAGGATTATATTTGCCAGGAAAGGGAACTAGACTTCACTGGAAAGTGTAACTCTACGGTGGGTAGAGAGACGGGCTATTTCCTAACATTTTATCTTAAACAGCAGCAACAAAACCCAGGGTCCATGTGCTTTCTCTCCACAAGCTCATCCATTGGCTAAATCTCCCACGGACGTGTACAACTAGGGCTCTGCCACAAAGAACAAATAAAACCACCATTTGTGAAAATTTCTTAGAGCTCCCGAATCTCTGAGTTTTACTCGGGTTGAAGTGTGGAGATACAATGGAGCTCTTTAGTCCACCCAAAGGCTGGCTCTAATTTCTCTCGCTGTCAATGCCACCATAATGAGCTTTTAAACTTTATGCTAAACCAAAGAACAACATTCTCTATAACATGGTTGTGTCTCAGCGGTCAAACAACGGGGCAGTAACTGATGTTTAAGGGGCGATTTTTGGACTAATCCCAATGCCAGATGCTCTCAAACTCTGGGACATTTCCAGGTCTTGGTCACCCATCCTTCTGTGTTTTTGTGTGGTGGGGAGCTCTGGGGAAGGCACTTTACCTGGCAGGAAGTAGCGCAGGGTCTTTGTAACAGGCCACTATGCTTGGGCTCCAATCTCACCATCATCGAGAAACTACTGATATGTTGTGTGACCCCGGGCACACTACCTGATGTCTTTGTGTCTTAGTCTTGTCATCTGTAAAAAAGGGCATAAGATGGAACCTGCAAAGGAGCTGTGTGAGGTGATGTACTATCAGGTGGCTAGGAACACATGTTATTTCCCTTCAAATCACATAATTTGAAAAATATCGGAGACTGTGCAGCAGTTGCTCTTACAGGTGAGGGAGTTGATCAGGACAGAAGAAGGGAAAGGAGGAAGAGGGAAGGAAGAAAGGGGAAAAGAAAGAGAGATCTATTTCTGGTCTGCTTCTTTGCTTCTCATTCTCCGGAAATAGTAGATTATAGTGGTGCACAGACTGTTAAAGGAGAAGATGATCTTGTGAGAATCTGAGCAACTTTCCTGGCCTCTTGCTATGTGAAAGTCTTCTCTAGTTGAAACCAGACTGTAACTAAAGGTATCAGTAGACCTTTTCCGGTACCTAGTTCCACAAAAGCCATCTATCATAATTGAAACCAGACGCACGTAGTTATTTGTTGAGCAGCAACCTCTGGTTTCTGAGTAGTAAGAGACTTTCCTTTCTGGGATGCTACAGAACAGTAGGCGGCCTCCTGTGAAAAAGCGCTCGGTCCTGTGCTTCCTCTTGTCATTGACTTGCTGGAGCTGCCACAATAAAACATTGCCCACCAAGTGGCCTAAAGAATAGAAATATGCTTTCTTGTGTTTTTGGAGGCAACAAGTCCATGATCAAGTTCAAGGTCGAAAGTCTCCCTTCTTGACTTGTAGATGGCTGTCTCTCCATACGACCTAATGTGGTCTTCTTTCTGTGCGCAGAAGCAGTCCCTGGTAACCTCTTCTAATTTTAGTTTTCTCTTTAGAGGTCCTGTCCTTCAACCCAGTTGCATTTTGTGGTACTTCAGGGTTGACCTCTCAGAGTGTGAGTTTTCAGGTGACAAGGTCAGCCTATTATTTCATCTGCTATCGAGTCTTAGACTCTGTGACACGTGCTATGAGAACAGAAATTAAGGAACAAACAACCCAGTGCAATATAAATCAATGACCGAGAGAAGAGAGTAGAGACATTCCTTATCTACAGTTTCAAACAGGCAATAAAGGTCAGCATGCTGGCTAGTTTTTGTGTCAACCTGACACACGCTAGAGTCATCTGATAGGAGTGCACCTCAATTGAGAAAATGCCTTTATAATATCCGGCTGTAGGCAAGCCTGTAGATAAGTTTTTAAATTAGTGATTGACATGGCAGAGCCCAGCTCACTGTGGGTGTTGCCCACCCCTTGGATGGTGGTCCTGGGTTCTATAGGGACACAGGCCAAGCAAGTCACAAGGAACATGTCAGTACACAGAAC